TGAAAAACTATGAAGGTTGATTTTGTGGGCCTAAATTATATTTTTTCACCAAAATTACGCATAGGTCATGGCTTATAGCTATGAGTTTTGGTCGTTGACCTATTGTGTATTGAATTAGGTGAAAACAAGCTTAAACATAGTCCGAAAGTTTTTCGTCGGCTTTTGTCGCACCCACACCGTTTCACATATTCCAAGTTCGGTTGGCCCATATCTTTTTGAAAAACTCGTGAAGGTTGATTTTATGGGCGTAAACTATATTTTTTCACCAAAATAACTCATAGGTCATGGCTTGTAGCTATGAGTTTTGGTCGTTTACCCATTTTGCATCAAATTAGATCCAAACGACTCAAACCTAGCCCGATAGTTTTTCGTCGCTTTTATCGCACTCACAGCGCTTCACATATCAAGTCTAGTTGGCCCGTATCTTTTTGAAAAACTCGTAAAGGTTGATTTTGTTGGCCTAAACTATATTTTTTTACCAAAATAACTCATAAGTCATGGCTTATAGCCGTGAGTTTTGGTTATTGACCCATTTTGCATCGAACTAGTTACAAACGAGTCAAACCTAGCCCAATAGTTTTTCATTAGTTTTTATCGTACTCACACCGTTTCACATATCCCAAGTCCAGGTTGGCTCGAATCTTTTTAAAAACCATGAAGTATGATTTTGAGGGCCTAAACTACATTGTTTTACCAAAATCGCTAATAGGTCATGGCTTATAGCAATGAGTTTTGATCGTTAGCCAATTTCACATCGAACTAGTTCCAAACAGACTCAAACCTAGCCCGATAATTTTTTCGTCGGCTTTTATCGCATTCACACATTTCGTGTATTTCAAATCTAGTTGGCTCGAATCTTCTTGAGAAACCATGAATGATGATTTTTAAGGCCTAAACTATATTTTGTTTTTACCAAAATCACTTATAGGTAATGGGTTATAGCGATTAGTTTTGATCATTTGCTCGTTTCGCATCGAACCGGTCCAAACATCCGAAACCTAACCCGATAGTTTTTCATTAATTTTTATCGCACTCATACCGTTTCACGTATTTCAAGTCCAGTTGGCCCGAGTATCTTCTTGACAAACCATAAAGGAGGATTTTGAGGGCCTAAACTATATTTTTTACAAAAATAACTCATAGGTCATGGCTTATAGCTATGAGGTTTGGCCGTTGGCCCGTTTCGCATCGAACTAGATCCAAACAGACTCAAACCTAGCCCAATAGTTTTTTCTCGGCTTTTATCGCACCCACACCGTTTCACATATTCCGAGTCAAGTTGGCCCATATCTTCTTGAAAAGCTCGTGAAGGTTGATTTTATGGCCGTAAACTACATTTTTACACCAAAATAACTTATAGGTCATGGCTTATAGCTATGAGTTTTGGTCATTTACCCATTTTGCATCGAATTAGGACCAAATAGCTCAAACCTAGCCCAAACGTTTTTTGTCAATTTTTATCATACACACATCATTTCACGTATTCCAAGTCCAGTTAGCCCGAATCTTCTTAAAAATCCATGAAGGATGATTTTAATGGCGTAAACTATATTTTTTTATAAAAATCGCTCATCGGTAATGGCTTATAACGATGAGTTTTGATCGTTGGCACATTTCGCATCGAACTAGATCTAAACTGACTCAAACCTAGCTCGATAATTTTTAATCGGCTTTTATCGCACTCACACCGTTTCAAGTATTCCAAGTTTAGTTGGCCCGAATCTTCTTGAGAAACCATGAATGATGATTTTGAAAGCCTAAACTATATTTTTTTACCAATATCACTCATAGGTCATGGGTTATAGTGATTACTTTTGATTGTTAGCCGGTTTCGCATCGAACTAGGTCCAAACGTACTCAAACTAAGCCCTACAATTTTTCATCGGCTTTTATTGTGGTTATACCATTTCACGTATTCTAAGTCCAGTTGGCCCGTATCTTCTTTAAAATCTATGAAGGCTGATTTTAAGGGCCTAAACAATATTTTTTAACCAAAATAACTTATGGGCCATAGCTTATATCTATGAGTTTTCGTCGTTGGCCCGTTTCAAATCAAACTTGGTTCAAATAGCTCAAACCAAACCCGACAAGTTTGTCATTAGTTTTTATCGCACTTACACCATTTCACGTATTCCAAGTCTAGTTGGCTCGTATCTTCTTGAAAAACCATGAAGGTTGAATTTGAGGTCCTAAACTATATTGTTTTTTACCAAAATCACTCATAGGTCATGGCTATAGCAATGAGTTTTGATCGTTGGCCCATTTCGCATCGAACTATGTCCAAGCGACTTCAAACCTAATTTGAAGTTTTTCATCAATTTTTATCGGACTTACACCGTTTCATGTATTCAAAGTCTAGTTGGCACGAGTATCTTCTTGAAAAGCCATGAAGGATGATTTTGAGGGCCTAAACTATATGTTTTCACCAAAATAACTCATAGGTCGTGGCTTATAACTATGAGGTTTTGTCGTTAGCTTCGTTTCGCATCGAACTAGATCTAAACAGACTCAAACCTAGCTCGATAATTTTTTTCGCTTTTATCACGCCCACACCGTTTCACTTATTCCAATTCCAGTTGGCTCGTATCTTCTTGAAAAGCTCGTGAAGGTTGATTTTGTGGGCCTAAATTATATTTTTTCACCAAAATTACTCAAAAGTCATGGCTTATAGATATGAGTTTTGGTCGTTGACCCATTTCGCATCGAATTAGGTCAAAACAGACTCAAACGTAGCTCGAAAGTTTTTCATTAGTTTTTGTCGCACTCACACTCGTTTCAAGTATTCCAAGTCCAGATTGGCCCAGTGTCTTCTTGAAAAACCATGGACGATGATTTTGAGGGCCTAAACTACATTTTTTTCACCAAAAAAACTCATAGGTCATGGCTTATAGCTATGAGTTTGGTTGTTGGCCCATTTCGCATCGAACTAGATCCAAACAGACTCAAACCTAGCCCAATAGTTTTTCGTCAATTTTTATCACACCCACGAGTGCTTCACGTATTCCAAGTCCAATTGGCCCGTATATTTTTGAAAACTCGTAAAGGTTGATTTTGTAGGCCTAAACTATATTTTTTCACCAAAATAACTCATAAGTCATGGCTTATAGCTATGAGTTTTGGTTGTTGACCCCTTTCGTATCGAACTAGTTACAAATAGGTCAAACCTAGCTCGATAGTTTTTCGTTAGTTTTTATCGTACTCACACCGTTTCATATATCCCAAGTCCAGCTTGGCCCAAATCTTTTTGAAAAACCATGAAGGATGATTTTGAGGCCCTAAACTACATTGTTTTACCAAAACTCTCATAGGTCATGGCTTATAGTGATGAGTTTTTATCGTTGGCCCATTTTGCATCGAACTAGGTCCAACAGACTCAAACCTAGCCCGATAAGTTTTTGTCGGCTTTTATCACACTCACATCATTTCATGTATTCCAAGTCCAAGTTGGCCCGAATCTTCTTTAGAAACCATCAATGATGATTTTGAAGGCCTAAACTATATTTTTCTACCAAAACCACTCATAGGTCATGGGTTATAGCGATTAGTTTTGATCATTAGCCCGTTTTGCATCGAACTAGGTCTAAATAGCTCAAACTTAGCCCGATAGTTTTTCATCTCGTTTTTATCATACTCACACCGTTTCACATATCCTAAGTCCAGTTGGCTCGAATCTTTTTGAAAAACCATGAAGGATGGTTTTGAGGGACTAAACTACATTGTTTTACCAAAATCGCTCATAGGTCATGGCTTATAGCGATGTGTTTTGATTGTTGGCCCGTTTTGCATTGAACTAGGTCCAAACGACTCAAACTTAGTCCGATAAGTTTTCGTCAATTTTTATCGCACTCATACCGTTTCATGTATTCAAAGTCCAGTTGGCCCGAATCTTCTTTAGAAACCATGAATAATGATTTTGAAGGCCTAAACTACATTTTTCTACCGAAACCACTCATATGTCTTAGGTTATAACGATTTGTTTTGATTGTTAGCCCGTTTTGCATCGAACTAGGTCCAAACAGACTTCAAACTTAGCCCAATAATTTTTCATCGATTTTTTTGCACTCATACCGTTTCATGTATTCCAAGTCCAAGTTGCCCATATTGTGACGCCCCGCCCCAATCATATTTCTACTACCCAAGTAGGGTACTGGATGAAGTGCATTACGCCGACATACCCTAAACTCTAAGTAGTTCTCTTATGATATTCTTAAAACTTTAACAACACATTACGTATATAACTCCTTAAGATAAAAATTACATAACATAATTAAATATATTAATAAAACATTACAAGTCAATATTCAATTTCTCACGAACTCCATACCCTAAATTTACGTACAAAATAAAAACTAATATATGGTGCCTCACATAAGCTAGTTAGGAGGAGCCAGCCGCATCCGTACCACCTAGTCCTTTTCCCGTCACGACATAAAAATAAAAACGAGGTGAGCCGAAGCTCAATAAGTGGGGTGACGCACATGATATGCAATGTTGTTTTGACTTCCCACCATACTCATAAATTTTAATCTCGAGTACCTTGGGTATTAGCCGATCTACTCTATTTATCATCGTGGTGGTCCGTAGATCACCTTCTCGCTATAACGAAATTATCCCTCGTTGTAACTACTATTAGCGAGAATCCATAATCTAACGAGTGTAAGCACACAACTTGATTTCATCCAATTGATCCTCGGATCATCTTCTCGCTATAACGGAATTATCCCTCGTTGTAACTACTATTAGCGAGAATCTATCATCTAATACCGCGAGCACACAGCCTCGAGTACTCGGACTACTAATACCCATTTATTCTAGTTAGGTTATCAAAGCTAGATGTATAAACCATTTCTCAATCAATTGACTTGTCTTAAACCACCCACTATGCACGTGATACACGTGATGTTATGTTTACCGTGTTAAACGTACTAGGGGCACTAACCTTACACTATAAATTCTTTCCCCATAAAGGGTTCGATTCTAGATATTTTCATCGGTCTAACCCACATAGGGTTCCCGTAGGTCCGACCCACATACGGCTTCCGTAGGTCCGACCCACATAGTGGTCTCCTTAGGTCCAACCCACATAGGGTTTTCATACATTTCCATACCATTCCTACACTCGTATTCCTTTAAGGAGGGCCCATCACCGCCGACTAGTAATAGTATGGCCACCAATTTTCTTTTGTGTGTGGGCACGCTTTCTCGGTTATTTTCAATGAGATTCGTCATTTCACTTGATTTATGTGGCCATAAATTTTTTTTTGCACGTGGGCACGTTTTCTTAGTTATTTTCGATGAGTTTCATTATTTCGGTTGATTTACGTGGCCATTGATTTTAAGGTTTGCTTTGTCGCATACCAAAGTAAAATTCTATTCGATGTACTATTAAATCATTACTCATAAGATTGGATGGTTGGGACTAATTAATCCGTACGTACCAAATTAGGATTTCTTTCCTAACCCTAGCTTGGGTATTTATAGCCGAATTTTGTCCCCAATGGGCCTAGGTCATGAATTAGATTTTACTCTTGAATTCTTACCTCTTAGTATTTTATTTTACACTTGTTTAAATGTAATTTAACTCTTAATCACAAGGTTGGAAGGCCATAAAGTCCTAAAAATAGCCTAAGGTTTCCCTTCCATTTTTATTAAATCTCTTCCACTCTAGCTTATTATTTTGCACTTAATTGGATTGCTAGTTCATAAAAGAAATCCAATTGTGCTCACTTTGGGATTCCTAGGCCAAATGGGTTTTTAAGAAAGCCCTAAGCATTCCTTTATTTCTCTTCCAATTTCTTCATCCCCATTTTCGATCCAAGTCCTTAAATTTTTTTTTATCTCACAATCATCAACACATGATAAGATATACACTAGGCATGATAGACTTCAAAGAGCATATAGAGACAATAAAACCAATACATTCAAACCAAGCCATCCACACCAAGCCAATATAAATAAAACCATAACAATACAAGCAATAACTTAATTAAATACATGAATTAAATTCATAGAAAGAACAAGCATGAAGTAAAACCCACTTACCTAGCTTAGATGTGGTTAGGTTTTCTTAGGTTTTCTTTTTTTCTTTTTTTTTCCCTTCCTTTCTCTCCTCACGTTTTTTTGTCCCTTTCTTTTCTTTCTTTCCTTTTCTCTCCCAATTTTTGGTGGCTACGGGTTTCTAAAATTTTTCTCACCATTTTAATTCTTTCTATATATATATACTTATTTCCCTTCAACTACAAGTGTTAGAAATTAATGGGACAAGGTGTAAAAGTTATGGGTGAGTCATGGGGAAAGGTGACTCGCTTTGGGACCATAATGGGTGAGTTGGCCTTAAATTCATTTATTGCATTTGCTTAGGTGTCTCGCATAAAATTTAGACTAATTAAACTCACTAATTAACTTAATTCAAGTAAATAAACCTACTTTATTTCATAAAAAATTCGGAAATTTCCATTTTTAAAATTCAGAATTTCTTTTTCTCCAAAATTTCAACAAGTGTTACCTCCTAACCTATCTATACTAAAATAAGCATAACACTTTCTATATATATCCAATAATTATGAAATTTTATAGAGAGCTAGTAGACACATAGAAAAACAACTGTTATTCTTTATGTGTTTCTCAAAAATCAATCTAACATCATCAAATAAATCTCACAAGATTCGAGCGATTCTTCTCTCGAAATTCCAGCAGAATGCATTTCGAAACAACCCTCACCATAATAGATATACTTCTTAATGTATTTGTGCAAATATTATAACCTTTTATACAGGTCTATTCAACACATATATGAACAACTTTCATTCTTTAAGGTTTACCCAAAAATCACCCTAAAGTCCTCAAATAATTCACACAAAACTCGGGTAGAATATAGTCCTTAAAATACTAATTTTGCGTATTTGATTTCTTTAATAATTAAACCATTAATCTTCAGCACAATAACTTTAATTTAACATAAATCACATATTTCAAGAATTAATTTCTCATGCTGAAATGAGAATTATACTTACTCTTAATATACGTATATATAGAATTATTCTAATATACGTTGCGTTACTGATAAGGGTTTTTACAGGGGTTACACGTATCTTCTTTAAAATCTGTGAAGGCTAATTTTGAGGGCCTAAACAATATTTTTTCACCAAAATAACTCATAGGTCATAACTTATAGCTATGAGTTTTCATCGTTAGCCCGTTTCGAATCGAACTTGGTCCAAATAGCTCAAACCTAGCCCAACAGCTTTTTGTCGGCTTTTCTCGTGCTCACACCGTTTCACATATTCCAAGCCTAGTTGGCCCGTATCTTCTTGAAAAACCATGAAGGCTGATTTTGAGGGCCTAAATTATATTTTTTAACCAAAATCACTCATAGGTCATGGCTTATAGCGATGTGTTTTGATCGTTAGCCCGTTTCGCATCGAACTAATTCCAAACGACTCAAACTAACCCGACAATTTTTCATCGGCTTTTATCGCACTCACACCGTTTCACCTATTCCAAGTCCAAGCTTGGCCTATTATCTTCTTGAAAAATCATGAAGGATGATTTTGAAAGCCTAAACTATATTTTCTCACCAAAATAACTCATATGTAATGGCTTATAGCTATGAGGTTTGATCGTTGGCCCGTTCCGCATTGAACTAGATCCAAGTAGCTCAAACCTAGCATGATAGTTTTTTATCAATTTTTATCGCACCCATACCATTTCACGTATTCTAAGTCCAAGTTGGCCCGTATCTTTTTGAAAAACAATGAAGGTTTATTTTGTGAGCTTAAACTATATTTTATCAACAAAATAACTCATAAATCATGGCTTATAGATATGAGTTTTGGTCGTTGACCCATTTCGCATCGAATTATGTGCAAAAAGCTCAAACCTTGCCCAATAATCTTTCATCAATTTTTATCGTACTCACACCATTTCATATATTCCAAGTTCGGTTAGCTCGAATCTTCTTGAAAAACCATGAAGGATGATTTTGAGGGCCTAAACTACATTGTTTTACCAAAATCGCTCTTAGGTCATGGCTTGTAGCGATGAGTTTTGATTGTTGGCCTATTTTGCATCGAACTAGGTCCAACAACTCAAACCTAGCTCGATAAGTTTTCGTCGGCTTTTATCGCACTCACACCGTTTCACGTATTCCAAGTCCAAGTTGGCCCAAATATTCTTTATAAACCATGAATAATGATTTTGAAGGCCCAAACTACATTTTTCTACCAAAACCACTCATAGGTCATGGGTTATAGCGATTAGTTTTGATCGTTAGACCGTTTCGCATCGAACTAGGTCCAAATAGCTCAAACTTAGCCCGATAGTTTTTTGTTAGTTTTTATCGCACTCATACCGCTTCACGTATTCCAAGTCCAGTTGGTCCTTATCTTCTTTAAAATCCGTGAAGGCTGATTTTGAGGTCCTAAACAACTTTTTTCACCAAAATAACTCATAGGTTATGGCTTATAGCATGAGTTTTCGTCGTTGGCCCGTTTCAAATCGAACTTGGTCCAAACAGACTCAAACCTAGCCTAATAGTTTTTTGTCGGCTTTTGTTACACTCACACCATTTCACGTATTCCAAGTCTAATTGGCTCGTATCTTCTTAAAAAACTATGAAGGCCGATTTTAAGGGCCTAGACTATATTTTTTTCACCAAAATAACTCCTAGGTCGTGGCTTATAGCCATGCCTTTTGGTCGTTGGCCCGTTTCAAATCGAACTAGGTCCAAACAGACTCAAACCTAGCCCAATAGTTTTTCATCGGCTTTTGTCGCACTCACACCATTCACGTATTCCAAGTCTAGTTGGCCTATATCTTCTTGGAAAACTATGAAGGCTGATTTTGAGAGCCTAAACTATTTTTTTTAATCAAAATCACTCATAGATCATGGCTTATAGAGATGTGTTTTGATCGTTGGCCCGTTTCACATTAAACTAGGTCTAAATAGCTAAACCTAACCCGATAGTTTTTCATCGGTTATTGTCGCACTCACACCGTTTCAAGTATTCAAAGTCCAAGTTAGCCTAGCATCTTCTGAAGAACCAAGAATGATGATTTTGAGGGCCTAAACTATATTTTTTTACCAAAATAACTCATATGTCATGGTTTATAGCTATGAGTTTGGTCGTTGGCCCATTTCGCATCAAACTAGGTGCAAACGAGTCAAACCTAGCTCGATAGTTTTTTGTCGGCTTTTATCATACTCATACCGTTTCACGTATCCCAAGTTCGATTGGCTCGAATCTTTTTGAAAAACCATGAAGGATGACTTTGAGGGCCTAAACTACATTGTTTTACCAAAATCGCTCATAGGTCATGGCTTCTAGCGATGAGTTTTAATCGTTGGCATGTTTTGCATCAAACTAGGTCCAAACAGACTCAAACCTAGCCCGATAGGTTTTCGTCGCTTTTATCGCATTCACACCGTTTCATGTATTCCAAGTCCAGCTTGGCTCGAATCTTCTTTCGAAACCATGAATGATGATTTTGAAGGCCTAAACTACATTTTTCTACCAAAACCACTCATAGGTCATGGGTTATAGCGATTAGTTTTGATCGTTAGCCCGTTTCGCATCGAACTAGGTCCAAACAGACTCAAACTTAGCTTAACAGCTTTTTATCAGCTTTTATCACACTCAAACCATTTCACGTATTCCAAATCCAGTTGGCTCATATCTTTTTTAAAATCCGTGAAGGCTGATTTTGAGGGCATAAACAACTTTTTTCACCAAAATAACTCATAGGTTATGGCTTATAGCTATGAGTTTTCGTTATTGGCTCGTTTCAAATCAAACTTGGTCCAATCAGCTCAAACCTAGCCTAATAAGTTTTCATTAGTTTTTGTCCCACTCACACCATTTTACATATTCCTAGTCTTGTTGGCTCGTATCTTCTTGAAAAACCATAAAAGTCGATTTTGTGGGCCTAGACTATATTTTTTTCACCCAAAATAACTCTTAGGTTGTGACTTATAGCCATGAGTTTTGATTGTTGGCCCGTTTCAAATCGAAATAGGTCCAAATAGCTCGAACCTAGCTCGATAGGTTTTCGTTAGTTTTTGTCGCACTCACACCGTTTTACGTATTCCTAGTCTTGTTGGCCTATATCTTCTTGAAAAACCATGAAGGTCGATTTTGTGGGCCTAGATTATATTTTTTTCACCAAAATAACTCTTAGGTTGTGACTTATAGCCATGAGTTTTGGTTGTTGGCCCGTTTCAAATCGAAATA